TATATATATATATATAAATATAATTTGTGGCGGTGCGCATCGATGTCGTGGTGCGCACGAAATGTTCTTCGGGAACGTACGCGTATACGCGTAAAAGAGACGCGAAGTGCGTTTTTCTACGAGCCTTCGATCCTACGTTTTGCATTTCCGCCTCCCGAGAAAGCGAGCGAAGTTCCCTCTTCTCCCGCGACACACACGACGAAACCCTACTACTATTATGCATTAAGAGCGAGCGTAATTTACAATTGTAATTATGTATAAATCGAATGCTACGATGTATATTATAGATCGATTATAAAAAACACACTCATCATTATGAAAATAAATACCTATCAAAATTAATTCCCGCTATACATGCATTCTTTTTCCTTTTCATTTCGCTATTATTCTTGAAACAGCACTGCTATATTATTTCTAAGATGCAATTTAGTAGACGCATATTTGTCATTTATTTATAGAAAATATAAATTTAATGGTTTTGGTTGAAGAGTAGGAAGGTAATTCGCAAAAAGGTTTTGAAGAAAAAAAAAGTATGATATTCGAGTGAGTGATCCAGATTTATATCTCTGTTTCCGCCTTGACGAAAGAGTGGGCAGCACTTCATCGAGCTTTCGGAACGTCGACAGGAACAGATACGTCCACATGTGTAAAAATGAAAAAGAAGAAACTTTACCACGCCCACGCGCTCCAACGTGGGTCGACCTCGTTTTCGCGGAAAGAAGATCCTTTACTAGCGATGCCGGATCGTTTATCAGAGAATCTCGCGGGCGTGCACGAGCACGCCTACTAATCCGCGAGTCTCACGAAGAACGAAATCTCCCCGATGGAAGGGTTGTTCTCGATCTCGACGCCGAGGAGAATCACATATTCGCGATATGAGGATGAAATCCGGGTCTTAATAGCTCTAGGTCAGGTCAATATTTAAATTTGTTACAAATATTTACGATTACGTATTAATTATATAATATGTACTTACATTTATATGAAACAAAATATTTTAATGTAGTCAACATTATAACAATAATAATAATTTATTCCTACATCCGTTGTTAGAATTTACATTTGTTTTCATGCAAAGTATAATTTGTTTAATTAAAAGATATATAAAAGAAGAGTAGAGTTATAAATTATATTTATGTTATAAACTAATAAAATAAATTTGTTTTTAAAATTTACTATGAAGAATTACCTGAAATTATGTGATGATATGAAAGCTGAAAGATTGGACAGCGTTGGAAAACTATGGAAAATGCAGTTATATTGTTTTTTTATCGGGTGCGAAAACGATTAATTATGTTTAATAATTATTACAAACTCTTGATAAACAAACGATTGCATATATATTATATATATATATTTGCAGATTGACTTGGAGGGCCTTTCATATAGCAGGTCTCATAACTCAGACCATTCGCTAATACACTGAGAAGAAAAAGTTAATTTGACTAAATTTAGTCCATAATAATTATTTAGTTCAAATATTTATATATTTAGATTAACAAAATCTTGTAATTTTAAACATGTTATTTGTTTGACATATATTTAGTTGAATTAACAAATATTTGCTTGACAATCTGTGACCGTTACATTTAATTGAATCAACTAATATTTTTTTGAAACAGCAACTTTTTTCTCAGTGTAACCTTTACCATTGTCACGCTAAAATTCCCTTCGCAAAAGCGAAACGACAGACCGATGTAGCGGACCACGGTAATTAGAAGTGTCTCGTGTTCAATCCCACCCAAACGAGATGTTTAATTATACATAAACGCCAGCGGGCCCCTCGTTCTCCAGAGCAAGAAGATGCACGACAAGACCTGAATCGCCCCTCTCCTCCTTTGCTTGAACCCTCAGTCCTTAATCGACCAGGTGGATTAGATTAGGACCCTTCGATTCTCGTGCTAACTTTGGGTCCCGACTGGAGACTAATAACTAGTGCACGAAATCGAATCCCAATTGGACTCCAAGTAGTGCCCTGAAACTCAAATCATGATGCAGAAATCAAAGACGATAAAAACGGCTGGACTTTGAAATTATTTACGGTTTTTGTGAAGAATAAAAGAGCACGTGATATTACATATTCATTGCAACTGTTTAATAATGAAGTTACATTGTTTAATAATTAAATTACATCATATTAAATAATTTAATTACTCGTACAGCTGATGAGAATAATAATCAGCATTGCAAATGAGCGGCTTGTAACGATTACATTTTTAACTTTTTATTCTCCTGTTCTTAACTCTTAATCTAATCTTTTCACGTGAATCCTCTGGATCATTTTGAACATTTGATTTCTTTATTTTTAACTCACACATTTGAAGATCAATTTTAAAAAATCATTCGAAAAGAGCTTTTCTTTGAAGGTAAATTTTTAAGTAAACAGTTTTTTCGATGTCTCTGTATTATTTCTCCTCTCCCACTTCTTCCTCTTCTCTCTATTTCTTTTTCCTATTCATAAACGTATACGTAGCACCGACATACGTGGAATAAATGAATTTAGCGTGGTTTCGACCTTACCGAGTACGCATTCGCCCAGTTGAAGCTTTATTCTACCACCTCTCTCGACGCTCTCGTGCGCACGACAGGTGCAGCGTGGGAGAACGAGGGTGAGAAGGCGGAGGT